AGCTCTTAGGCTGAAATGACAGGCAGCCATTTCACTATTTATTTATTTATTTTTTGCTTCCCTGGCTTCAAAACAATGGGAAGCGAAACCGACAGTGAAATGGCTCACAGCCATTTAAACCTAACAGGTCAGCTGTGGACTCACACCACTCAGCTGTTAGGTTTAAATAGCCCTGAACAGTCAAACTGAACCAGACAAAAGTCCGGTAAATGTTTGGTTCAGCTTTTTTTTCAGCAGCTCCAAACCGGCCCAAGTTCATGCCGAATTTTGGCTACCGAGTGAGCCGGTTTGTGCCCATCCCTAGAACAGAGTACCCAATTGTTAGGCCTGGCTCTGTTGATGAGCAGACCTTGTACCACTTAGTCTGACTCTTGGGAAATGGCAGGCTGGTATGGGTGGAATCCTGTGTGTGAGAGAGGAACCAATCTAGTGGCTAATATCGGTAAAAGCCTATTTGTACCTGCAAGCAAAAAAGAGAATTCAAACCACACTCTGAAGCCATAGGTAGCTTAAACTTCTGTGCCTCAAACAGGTTTCTCCTTTGACTATCTAAGAACCTGTGCTGCTGATCTGTTTTTTTCAAACCAACCTAATCTATATATATTTTTCAACTATTCAGCTATAGTCAGCTACTGAATAGTTAGCTATTGAATAGCCACGTACAGCATCTACCTAACACATGGGTATATGTGTGCACACACTCATGCATAGACACAGACAGTACTATGTCAACATAATCATAGTAATATATTATCAAAGTAACAGTCTAATACTTTACAGAGGTTCTCCAGACTAAGCTCATTGAAATCAATAGGCATTTAGATCCAAGTAATTCAGTGCAGGATTGCCATGCAGGTCCCCTAAAAAAATCTGAAGCCAGAGCTGGATTTATGTACAGACTAAGTATAGTTTAGGGTCTCAGATTTTGAGAGGCCTCTAAAGCTATTGGAATAAAACACATCATTTTGGTGATGCTATAGGGCCTCCTCCTTTTGACATAGTTTAGGGTCTCTGCATGTCTTAATCCAGCTCTTTCTGAAGCTTACATTAGAAATACTGTGCTACAAACGATGCATGGAATATGTTCTATCTCAAATCAGCATGAGTGGTGGACTTGGATGTCCCTTTTTCAGACTTTGACTACTAGGGGATGTTTGATAACAACTTTAGAAAATCCATGAAGGACATGGAAATGCACTTTCCCACTTCTGCTATGCCTTTAGGGATAGTAGAGCTGCAGTGATTATAGCAATTATGTGTAATAAATCTGTTAACATGAAAAAATAATAATCCACATTGAAACTATGAATTTCCCAAAGGTTATATGGGGTTGCCGCATGACGGAGTGAGCTCCCGTCTCTAGTTCCAGCTCCTGCGAACCTAGCAGTTCGAAAGGAAGAAATTGCAAGTAGATAAATAGGTACCACTTCGGTGGGAAGGTAACAGCGTTCCGTGCGCCTTGGTGTTTAGTCATGCCGGCCACATGACCACGGAAACGTCTTCAGACAGCGCTGGCTCTTCGGCTTTGAAACAGAGATGAGCACCGCAACCCTAGAGTCGGACTCGACTGGCTTTCGAGCAAGGGAACCTTTACCTTATATGGGGTTGCAGAACTGACAGCCTTCACACACGTTTTCAAATGTGATCTGGTTAACCAACTTTTATTCTTTCACTGAAATTAATTGTAGGGCATGGGCATGAGAGAATAGACTATGAGAGAGTAGACATACATACAAGCCATATACATGCTGAAAGTTTTCTGAATACAAAATTCTGTTGAGTCACACGACCAATTAAGGAATCCATGCTCAGGCAGGATCGCTTCTCCGACTTTAGGGGATCGTGAGAAAGATGGAAAATGAGACCCTCACAATCAGTGTTCCCTCTAAGCTGAGTTAGTGTGAGCTAGCTCACAGTTTTTTAGCCTCCGGCTCACACATTTTTGTCTTAGCTCAGGGAGGATGGCTCCAGAGCGAACTAATTCTGTTGAGTCACACAACCAATTAAGGAATCCATGTTCAGGCAGGGTTGTTTCTCCGACTTTAGGGGATCGTGCACAGCTTAGAGGGAACCTTGCTCACAATACATTATGAAAGCAAATAGAGCTTCCATGTTCAGAGGCAGTATCCCTCTAACACCAGTGCTGGGGGGATGCAACCATAGAGGGAAAGGCTTTGGCCTGCTTGTAGGCGTTCAGGACATCTGAATGGACACTGTGTGAAAAAGCATGTTGGAGCAGATGGAATATCAGCTGTTTTTAGAAGGTTATTTACTTACTTCCGGGCAACGACTGCCCCCATCCAAAGCCAGGGAGATGTTAAAACGGCCGCAGTGGTGGTATAGTGGCCGCGGCGGCGGCTCCTACTCAAAAGCCTGGCAGAAGAGCTCCGTCTTGCAGGCCCTGCGGAACTGCACTAAGTCCCGCAGGGCCCTGATCTCCGCCGGGAGCTCGTTCCACCAGGTAGGAGCCGCCACCGAAAAAGCCCTGGCCCCTGTTCCGTGCACCTTGGTGTTTAGTCATGCCAGCCACATGACCACGGAAACGTCTTCGGACAGCGCTGGCTCTTTGGCTTTGAAACGGAGATGAGCACCACAACCCTAGAGTTGGACTCGACTGGCTTTCGAGCAAGGGAACCTTTACCTTATATGGGGTTGCAGAACTGACAGCCTTCACACACGTTTTTAAATGTGATCTGGTTAACCAACTTTTATTCTTTCACTGAAATTAATTGTAGGGCATGGGCATGAAAGAATAGACTATGAGAGAATAGACATACATACAAGCCACATACATGCTGAAAGTTTTCTGAATACAGAATTCTGTTGAGTCACACAACCAATTAAGGAATCCATGTTCAGGCAGGGTTGTTTCTCCGACTTTAGGGGATCGTGGGAAAGATGGAAAATGAGACCCCCACAATACATTATGAAAGCAAATAGAGCTTCCATGTTCGGAGGCAGTATCCCTCTAACACCAGTGCTGGGGGGATGCAACCTGCTTGTAGGCGTTCAGGACATCTGGATGGACACTTTGTGAAAAAGCATGCTGGAGTAGATGGAATATCAGCTGTTTTTAGAAGGCTATTTACTTAATATTGCTTAATGAAAATTTGCTATAGGGATGTAAATTTTGTTTTACAGGCAAAGGCAACAACAACAATCAACAGAAAAGCTTAATGCTGTACTCTCTTCAGTGCCAACATTTCCTCCTCCTATTCATAAGCAAGATTTGTATTTTTATGCAGGAATTCAGTAGTGTTTGATGGAATTTTTAATGAGAGAGTCAGCTGCACACATCTGTACAGTGTGTTACATTCCATCAGCCAATATGCCATCAACATTCTGGAATGCTGTGGGGGAAGGAGCTTTGATTCTAAATTTTGACTCCATGAGATTCATTTGACACAGCTTTTTTGTTCTTAGAGCAGGTTAGCTACGGTATTTACCTAAATGTATAACAGATCTATATGTATAACATCAGTATAATAATGTATAACATCAGTTTGGTGTAGTGGTTAAGTGTGCAGACTCTAATCTGGGAGAACCGGGTTTGATTCCCCACTCCTCCACTTGCACCTGCTGATATGACCTTGGGTCAGTCACAAGCTCTGTCACAGCTGTTCCTGAAAGAGCAGTTTGTGTCAGAGTTCTCTCAGCCCCACCCACCTCACAGGGTGTCCTGTTGTGGGGAGGGGAAGGGAAAGGAGTTTGTAAGCCACTCTGAGACTCCAAGTGAAGAGCGGGATAGAAATCCAATCTCTTCTTCTTCTTCATAAAGATTTTTTTCAGATTGAAGGGACACTTCAAAACTTTACTTCAGGAAGGGAACAACTCGCACTGCCAATTCCCAGTTTTCTCAAAATTCTCAGATCCATTTCTCAGAAACACAAGGCGGTGCCAGGAACCCCCCAAATGCAAAAAATGCAGAGGCACCTTATCATGCAAGTGTGGTGATTTCACCACTCCACTGCAAGCTTCTTTCATGACAACTCAGTGAAAATCACTGGAACCCCCTGACAAGCCATATGAACATCTGGACCTTAGACATGCAAACCACATGCTCTGACTACAGCTACCCTTCCTTATTAAAATAAGAGGTACCTTGCTGAATGCACAGATGCAAACATACAGAGTACCTATACTGTCAGACTATTGACCCATATAGCCCAGCACTGCCTGCTACAACTGCAGGGGGCTCTCCAAGGTCTCAAGCAGCAAGAGTCTACTCCAGCTCTTCTACTGAGATCCTTTCAGCGGGAGATTCCAGGAAATTAAAAAGGTCAACTTCCTAGATACATTCTGGGCAATAAGGGGTATATTTTACTCTCTCTTGTCATGGTTCTAAGAAAAGCTGGTGAGACTTCTAGTTTTGTGCGTAACATCGCTTGTTCTTTGCACGGCATTTTGTATGCTGTCTGAAATGGTGCTGCTTCATCCTTCCAAACTGCGACCCAAGCCTCCCCCATGTGCGTTGCCTGTATACGTGGGGCGGCAGCCCTAGGAGAGCCCAGTTTTCTTATTAGGCGGAAAGGTGCGGGAAAGAACGGAAATTTCCGATGAAAACTTGTCTATAAAGTCGCGATTCGTCTGTGAAAGCAGACTTCCGTTTGTGGCACGAACAGACTCATAAGGAGGCTGCTCGCTGCCGGTCCATTCAAGGCGGAGGAGTATATGAAATGCCGCTCTCCCCACCCTTGCCGAGCGCTCTGGGAATTGTCGGAGGGGTTCACAGGAACAACCATCTCTTGCCACATGGCCCGCCTCGCCCACTGCCCCCGCCCTCCCCTCTGCATGTGTGTCGGCGTGTGCGTTTCTCAGTAAGTCTGCAAGGCTACGCTCATTACAGCATTTCGCGTCATTCGCCTCTGATTGGCAGAGCTCCGAGTTCCAGCCCCGCCCTCCTTCACTCTGATTGGCAGAACTGTGCGGTCCAGCCCAGCTTTCCTGGAAAGTTCTTGGAAATCTATCAAAGGTATTTCCTTGAACACAGAGGACGACAGCAGCCAATTCTGGCCAGCCCTGAAAACAAGTAACAACTTTTCAGCTGGATCCCTGGAAGGAGCGGCTCGATCCTTCTCTAGCATTTTCTCTTTTCCCGTAGGGAAAACAAAGATTTGGATTATTGGGGGTATTATTTTGACCCCTGCAGAGCAAACCTGACATCAAGATACCTATTACGGACAAATCTATTTATACTTTTTTGGGGTTAATGTCGGAACAGTGATATGAATACAATACAATTCCAGGAATCCACCACTTCCTGGAATAGCTTAAAAGGGGCAAACAAAAGATTACTTAGTAGCGTTTTCCCCCCAGAACTGTATTACTCCGGGAGCCAGCGCCGAAGGTAGCTGCGGCAGTTCTCCGTTCAACTTCTTCCGTACAGAGAGACTATTTATTGAGATATATTTATAATTATTCATTTTTCTTTCTTTTTTTACTGGCGATTTTAACGCCACTAGGAAGGAGGTTTTTTTCTCCCCTAAGTACTCATTTTCTTTTACTTCGGTAATTTAAATATCATTTATATTACGTTTTTTTTTTACTTGCCACAGCAAGAGTGTGTTGGGAAACGGCTGCGGTCAGGCGCGTTCTTCAACGCAGAACTCGCTGAACGATCAGTAAAGATTTCCTGGATACCCCAATTTACTTTATTCGCTGTGGGTGACCTCCAAGGTGCTCTTGAGAATCTGTGTTGGGATAGATCCGACCTCTTCTCCGCAAGCTACTTAACTACTGACTTGTGTTACTCCTGCTGGGAACAAAGAAGATAACCAATAGTGGGAGAGCTGTTTCCCGGTTCCTCCGAAGACTTAATGCTCTTTCCTTGGTCCTGGAGTGACATGATCCTCTGTGTTCAGGGGTAAGATACATTTCAGACTTTACTTTGTAAAGAGGAGTAAACATAATTGTCTCTTGTGGGTTCTATGGGACAAATTCTGAGCGTCAGTTTGTATAAAATAAGTGAAGTTTCCATGCATAGCAGTGGGCTGAAGTTAACTTACATTAGCCAAAGGTCAGTCTGTCTGCCTATCTGTCTTTCCTTCTTTTACTGCCACCATCCAGGTATTTCAGGTGATAAAACAATACAAAGCACCTTTTAATGTTTTAAGGGAGAGAGGCAGGAAGAGAAGTTTGTTGATGTTCATGCTGTTTTCTTTATAACTGGCTTTAAAATTATATTGCAAACAGTGTGTATTAACAATAAATTGGATAACTAAACCTGCAGGAAAATTCCCTATGAGCCATTACAGAGCACTCTACTATGAACAGAAATGAATATCTGATTTTAAACTATTTTCTCGGAGCAAAGTTTTGAAAAATATACATAGATTTCTTCATGTGGGTAGCTGTGTTGGTCTGAAGCAACAGAACAAAGTTTGAGTCCAGTGGCCCCTTTGAGACCAACAAAGTCTAATTCTGGGCATAAGCTTTCATGTGCATACACACTTCATCAGATACACTGAAACAGTTTCCCTCAAGCCTTACATATAGGTAGAGAGAGGGTGGGGGTAGTTGCCAGAAAGGGTTAGTTAGAGTTAGGATGCATCTTGACTCTAACTAGCCCTTCCTGGCAACTAACCTCCCCCTCTCTAATTATATGTAAGGCTTGAGGGAAACTGTTTCAGTGTATCTGATGAAGTGTGTATGCACATGAAAGCTTATGCCCAGAATTAGACTTTGTTGGTCTTAAAGGTGCCACTGGACTCAAACTTCGTTACATATATTTCTGAAACTGGTAACAGTGGATCTACCCAAGACTGTGTGTTTGGGACAGGGATGGTAGTTGGGACTGTGATGGTGTGTGCCACAGACACATAGGTGTGCAAGTCACATCTAGCCATATAACTTGTGCATTGGGAAAATTAAGGACAGAGCTCACGAATGTTCCATTTTGGCTAGATGCTTTCTTAGTTTTATCACGCAATTGGGAAACTGCAGCTCATGTCAGATTCAAGTCCCGTAGCACCTTAAAACCAACAAGAGTTCCAGAGGATAAGCTTTTGAGATTTCAGAAACTCTCAGAAGCTTCTACCCTGACACTCTTGTTCTTCTCTAAAGTACTACTGGATGAAAATCTAAGTGTTCTACCAATGCAGCTGCCTTCTGAAACCACAGCTCATATGTAAATGTGTATTTTGTCATGTCAGTCTAGCAGTTGCTGTTCCTTGGGGGCCACTGGGGATATAAACAGCTGTATTTGCAACCAGTGCCTTGTTTACAGTATTTTGTTTGGCCTTTTTACACATATAAAAATGCCAAAAATGCAGACCTGGCCCTATAGCTGTTAAAATCAAGTCTAATTTTAAGCCATGGAAATAAAAGGAGACATTAGCAATGTTTTTTCCTCTCCATTTTTAACTTGATGTGGGGATTTCCACCTCCTCCTTCTGGGTTTCAGCTTCATTCTAGTGCTGATAAGACACCACAGTTATTTTCCTGTTTCTCAACTCTATGTACTTGAAATGTGACTTGTGTGGCAGGAATATATCTGATTCCCTTACCCCTGTTGCTTCATAGTTCATTTGGCTTGGCTCTTGTGTTGAGACTTCATTGCACTTCAGAAATCTTGTACAGTTTAGAAGCCAGTTGTGCCCTCCTTCTTCAGACAGAACTCCCAAGGGAATTTGTAGAAATTGCCCGCCCCCCCATAGAGCATAGTGCTGGGGAAATTTTCTTATTTGATGTATTGCTGTGGAAGTTTCATTGTGCAAGGGAGTAAGTGATAACGTTTACAAAATCGCTACATTATTCTGTGTACATCTTTGCATCTGAGTCATTATTGTCACATAAATATTCAAAAATATGCCCAGTTTACTAATCACTGGTCTCTCATGCACTCAGATCTAATCACACACAGCCTCTCATATCTCCAGAGTTTCTTCATTCTTGCTCTGTCTTTCTGTTACACCCTGGAGATGCCCTCTCTGATAGAATTCCACTTGGTTCCCCACTTGTCCCTCCTTGCTGAACAGTCAAGAATCTTGGGAGTCTTGATGTCCCTTTTCTCCAAGGAGATGCAGACAAAAACCCACCGATGCTGCTGTATTTTCTCACATGTAACACAGCTCCCCCCAAACAAGAATGCAGTTTTTGTTTGTTTACAGTGTAAAAACTACAGCAGTAAAGGCAACAAAGTTCTTATAAGTTAGTTACAGGTGGTAATAAGGATTAAGGCAATCAACAGTGCAATCCTAAACAGAGTTACAAATTTCTAAATCCACTGAAGGGTATAACTCTTAGAAGGGTATAACTCCCCTTAGGATGGCACTGTAAATTTCAAAACATAACAGGATCCACAGAGATTTTCAAATTTTATTTGTAAATCCAAACACTTTTACTTGCAAGGTGCTCCTGTTGATGCCCTGGTTGACCTCTGGAATGAGGAAATGACCTGGACAGTTGACATGATAGCTCCCAGGTGCCCTCTCTCAGGTGTTAGAGCCCAGGTAGCCCCTTGGTGGTTCTGACTACTGTAGTGTGTGCCCTAGTTACACCTAGATTAGATTACTGCAGCGTGCTCTACATAGGGCTGCCCTTGAAAAGTGTTCAGAAACGCTGCAGCCAAGATGTTGACTGGAGTGGTTCATGGGGACCATATCACTTCAGTCTTAGCCACGTACACAGATTTCCAGTTTGTTTCCAAGGTTTGGTCTTGACCTTCAAAGCCTTATGTGGTATGGAACCAACATACCTGCAGGGCTGCCTGATCCCTTATGACCTTGCTCAACCATTATGGTACTCTTTGGAGGCCCTGTTTTGGGTGCCCCCACTTTGTGAGATTAGGTGGGTGGCAACCCAGGAGAGGGCCTTTTCAGTCATGCTGCCAAAGCTCTGGAACTCTCTCCTCAAGGAGATTTGTCTGTCGCCTTCTGTTGCTGCCTTCCACCAGTGGGTGAAGATTTTTTTGTTTTGTGCGGCATTCCCTCAATGATCTCTCCTTCCTAACCAAGATTTTATGTTTTGTATGTATTTTAACTGTTTTATGTATAATTTACTTGCTTTTTAACTCTCTTAAAAGTTGATTTAATGAGGTATATTTGGAAGAGGGGTTTATTTTAATGGTTTTATAATATATTTTACCATGTATGCTTTAAATTGTTAGTTGCCTTGGCAACTCTTTTAAGGGCAGAAAGGTGGGATATAAATTTTGTAAATAAATAAATAGTAAACAAATCCCTCCTCACAGTACGCATAGCATACAAACAACTACTGGGATGGAACATATTTGTGTTCTTTTGAAATCCTAATGGCAATATCTCTGTGAGGAAAACATATCTTCGCATACATGCACAGAAAATAAAGAGGGTGCATGGGAAATCAGTCAAAACTGTGAATATTCCCTAAGTCATAAGAACAGACATGCAGAATTAGATCAATTGCTCGTCTAGTCTCAGATCCCCTTTTTTGTGCAGTGGCATGAAAGCAGGGCACAGAGACCTGAGATGTCCTCTGTTGCTGTCCCCAAGCAGGGCCACATTACGACTTTCGTGGGCCCCAGGCACTTTTGCCTTCATGGCCCTTTCCCACCATAATAATCTCAATATTAAAAATTATTTTATGTAACTTAAAATACTTCAACATTTTTTTCAGTTTTAGGCAAAATGTAATAAATTTCCGTGGTCCCTAAACATTTCATTTTTTCCCTGATGCAAGAAAAAAGTTAAAACATTTTATTTGCCTCTAAAAGTTCACTTTATTCCTCCTGGTTTTATAAGAAATTAAAACATTTTCATGGGCCCCTAAAAGTACCGTGGGCCCTAGGCACTGTGCCTACTGTGCCTACTGGATAAGTTGGCCCTGCCCCCAAGCACTGGAATTTAGAGGGTTTCTGCCTCTGAACATGGAGGCTCCAGCTAGTTATCATGGCTAATAGCCTTTTAATGGACTGAGATAGCTCCATGAATGTAAACCCCTTTCATTCTGGCATATCTGCCCTGTGTACTGTGGGAGCACACTATGTACAGTCTTCTCAGTATGTGTGAACAGGGCAATGTGTGTATTTTCCAGCTTCACTGTGCAGAAATGCATACTCTAAAAAATCTGGAGTTTCTGACCGTGGGTGCTACAGCTGGAAAATACACATTCTGCACTGTTCACACAATATGGTGACTGTGCATATCTCACATAGCACACTTCTCTGGTATACACCCAGGGGTCATTTCGTAGAAAAAGAGCTAGGGGGACTCATTAGCATAACTCATTAGCATATGCCACACCCCCTGACATCACTGGAAGTGTGTCCTCCCCACAGCCGGCGGCGACCTCCAGAGGGCACCAGCAGGGAGCTCCAGGCCCCGCCCTCCTGCACCTCACCCGGGGGGGATGGCGTCCCCCCGCATCCCCCCCCAAATGACCCCTGTATACACCAAATCTTAATGACAGAAAAGACCTTTTGCCTAATCCATCTTTAAAGTCAGTTTAACTAGTGGCCATCATAACATCCCGTGGCCCCAAGCTCTGCAAGGCAGCTATGTTTTGTGTAAAGAAGTATTTCCTTTCCTCTGTTCTTCTGTTTTCTTTGGATGCGTGTGAATTCTAGTATTGTGGGAGGGAGGAAAAATTCTCTATCCACTTTCTCTAATTCATGAATAATTTCATAAACCCTTATCATGTCTCCATTTAGTCATCCTTTCTCTAAACTGGAGCACCTTAACCTTTCCCACTAGGTGCTTCAACCCCTTGATCATGTTGGTTGTTACCTACTGTGCAATGTGTTATCATGTCAGGATTTCCCAGTTAGTATTTCTCCTGCTTTGAAAAGGGAGCTAAGAGATTGCACAAGATTAAAAAAGAAACAGCTTAGAGCTGCAGCAGTTACCTCTGCTGAAAGAAACCATCACAACAGAAAAATCTGCTGGATGAAACTCAGACATAAGTTTATTCTTTCTTTTTTAATAAGTTTGTTCTTGCAAGAGCCACCGAGAAGGACTTTTTATTGTGGATGAAAGGTGAGGTCCAGTACAAAGCTTTCAGCGCTAGTGGGTACCTATATAAAGCCATGCCTGCTTTTAGCCCTGTGAGTCACATTTGTTATTGAATGTGCTGCCATCCTGAAGCAGACACTAATGGGCACATTCCAGACTGATGTGATTTCTTTTTGACAGAATTCTCTTGAATTTCCTTTTGGGGAAGATGCAGAAGCTTGTAACTCAGAAAAAGTGGGTTTTAAAAAGGAAATAAATCAATTTGCAAATCCTTTTTGGTTGGTATTACTTTCGACAAGCCCTTCCTTGATGCAGCTGTAGACTCCTGTACTGAACAGGGTGACTTGAAGCAGGTCAAGTGGTAGGTTGAGGCTGCCTGGGGAGAAAAAGAATAACCAGACTAGTGATGAAGGTAGGATCCTTATGTAACCTTATTCCCCCCCCCCGCCCCCAACACTTCTGTCAGGATATTGTTAACACTGCATGCAATAAATGCCATGGCTTTATACAAGCCATTAAGAGGCTGTATAAGGAAAGCAGGAAGGTATGGAATTTTCCGAAAGGGACTCATACCTTTTGCATGGCTGTATGTGTGCTCTTTCAATTCTGCAGGTAAAATACATAAGTACAGTTGAAGTTTATGAATGAATGTCCAGATTACAGAGTTCTGTCACATGGATGGGTACAGCCTAGTGGGCAGTTGGAACAGGGGAACAAATCTGGCAAGGGAACAGAAGCAGAAGCCAAGGCCAGACCTAGGCATTAGTAAGGCAAACATAAATCCCACCACAGGCATCCCCAGCTCTTGTACATCCTTTTTGTTATTGTTGCTGTTTTCCAACACAAATAGTATCCATTCTGTCTTACTGCAGCATATTATAAAACTGAAAGCAAAGTAAGCTTATACTATGGAAAAATTTGTTGGTCTTCAAGGTGTTACTGGACTCAGATCTTGTTTTTTTAAATAAAACTTTTAAAACACTGAGTTCAGTTTCAAGTTAACCACTGCCTCCTAGCCATCGGTTAAGATCTTCAGCAAAGGGCTCTTTTGCCGCTGCCTCCAGATGTTAAGTGGGTGGCCAGCAAAGATAGGGCCTTCTTGATAGCGGTGCCTCTTCTTTGAAACGGCTTCCCCATAGCTACTTGCTGGGACCTGGCTTGAATAGCTTTAAGTACCATGTGAAAACTTTGTTATTCACCCAGGCTTGTGACAGAATTGGGTGTTCTTTTGTTTGTTTTTGTTTTACTTGTTTTTGAACCAGTGCTTGGTCACTACTTAAAACAACCCACCCCCTCTTTTTACTATTATTATTTTATGTTGTAAATTTTACTCCATCAAATCATTGATATAAATTACAGAGATTTCCAGTTTTTTTAAAAAAGAAAATGAACAAATACATTGGTTGTACTACTTTCAAGATTTGCCAAGATATAATTGCTAAACTGTCAGTTAACACTTAAAATAAAATCATAAACTCTTTTGATTGCTGACTGTTTGGGATGTTTTAATGTAGCTTCCAGCCCCATATATAAGGGGGAAAGTACAATGCCCTTCCCTCAAGCTCCATAGATAAGATACTGTTGACATTTGGTAGCAGTAATCTGGCTGTATTACATAAATGAGGTTCTTCAGGTGGCTGGAAGCACCACAGGTTTGCCATGTGATCAGGTCAGCTGCCATGCTGCCAAATGGTTATTTGAAACCATCTTCCAAGAAGTGTTGCTTTAGCAACTGATCACCACGTCTATAGCTTTAACATTCCACTGAATAGTGAGATCTCCATTATGATTGAGAGCTGGGTAGACAGAGGATATCTAGATTTCCAGAAATTTTTGACAAAAAAAGTATTCAATCTCTTTCATTTTCATTGGTTAGTTTTACTATATCAATATTTGTCACTATTAATACTGCCATCATTAATAATGATTCATTAATTAGGCACTGTGTTACCTGACTAGAAACATTTATGTCTGAAACACAATGGTATATAGAGCACTTGAAGAGGTTTAGCTGTTAGTATTTTCTAGTATTTACAAAATTATATTTTTATGGGCAGTGGGCACTTTCAGAAATTATGAGAAAGAAACAGACTGAGCCCAAATATCTAAGGCTGCTTGTATTTTCCCCTCTTTATTTAGGCTCACATGAAAGCAGTATGAAGGGGAAATGTCATGTTCCCCTGCTTTAGTGCCACAGCAACAATCCACTACCTACCTGGGGATCTCCTGGAATTACAGCTGCTCTCCAGATAACAGAGATCAGTTCCCCTGGAGAAAAATGGCTGCTTTGCAAGGTGGACTCTATGGCATTATATCCCATTGAGGCCTTTCCCTTCCACAAACTCCAGGCTCCCCAGGCTCCATGCCCAAATCTCCAGGAATTTCCCAAAACCAGATTTGGCAACCCTACCCAACAGGTAGTATTTAAAGTAAATTAAGGATGCTTGGAGATCCAATCACATAATTGAGGCCTTAGCTGCGTGGGTGTTAAGTGAGGGGGTCATTTCACTGGAATATTGTGAAAGCTTGATTTGACACTACAAGTGCTGTTAGGCAGGTTACTTGTATGCCTTCTGGTATAAAAGAAGGCAATATTCCAAGGACAGAGAGGTAAAAATCCATAGGTGCAGAAGGATAAAGTGTGTCATTTGCCTGAGGATGTGGTGGATGAGTACTTCAGTGTATGATATTTCCTTCCTTCCTTCCTTCCTTCCTTCCTTCCTTCCTTCCTTCCTTCCTTCCTTCCTTCCTTCCTTCCTTCCTTCCTTCCTTCCTTCCTGAACTTATGTAGAGCTCTGTTTATGCAGTTTAGCATGCTGTATCACAATAACTTAGTAGGGAGTAACCCAATGATGCAATCTGGTGCCAGCCAAACTAAAAAGCATACAAAATGTTCTTCTTTTCAGACCCCATCCTTTGCTGGCAGAGGAGAAAATCAGGAGACTATCGCTTGGGGCTCTTGCTGTGAATGTGTCAGAGCAAGTAATGCAGCCTCTGTCAGTCACACCCTTCCAAGAAGAGTCCGTTCCTGCCTTTGTGGCACCCACGCTAGAGAGCAATCCGCCTCAGCCACGAGATCCAGAAGAGGATCTGTTGTGCATTGCAAAGACCTTTTCATATTTGCGAGAATCTGGTAAGAGCCCACATCAACATTTGTGTTTTACAACTGGAACCTACTATGTTCTAAGGCTGCAAGTAGCAAGAAACTGGAGCTCTGCCTCTGTCTGCAGCTGAATGACACTTGTGATAGCACCCCCGTACTGAAGGCAGAGATGAGCCAAAATGGCCCTTTTAATTTGTTTTTACTCCATATATTGTCACAATCCTGATTTGCTTCATTTTGTTGCTATTCATGTTCATGTTCCATTTCTTTTATGCCATTTATATGTTACATGCCATTTACGTGGAAGCAATGCAAAAATAACGCTAAGAATACATTAAATGAATAGGAAACATTCAGTGTGAGAAAAGGGAAACTGGTGTGAAAATAAAGACACGTGCCCAAAAATGAGAAACAAAATCAAAATTAGAATCTTTGAATTTTCAGAAGAGCTCAGTGTTAAGCATGCTCTTTTAACAAGCTGGCTCTGTGATACAGCCGGTATGATGTAGTGAATAAAGTGTTTACCTTGGAACACAGAGACCTGGATTCAAATCCTCAGTCAGCCATGAAGTTCTCTGTGTGGCTTTTGACCAGTCCATCTGTTTCAGCCAGATTGGTGTAGTGGTGAGACCCAGGTTCAGATCTCCAGTCTGCAGTGGGAACTTGCTGGGTGACCTTTGGCCAGTCACACACTCTCAGTCTAACCTTCTTCACAGAGTTGCTGTGAGAATGAAATGGAGGCAAGGAGAATGATGTAAGATGCTTTGGGTTGCCACTGGGGAGAAAGGCAAGGTATAAATGAAGGAAATAAATAATTTTATCTCACAGTATTGTTGGTTAAAATAAGGAAAACCCCATGTATACCACCTGAGCTTATTGGCGGTTAGGTACATATGTGATAAGATAGGTAAATAAATGTTCTTCCCCCATGTTTCTTATATTCTGTTCTGCACATATATTAAGGATGCCTTCTTATGAACCATCTGTATTTTTCTCTAGATTTTGTATCTTCTACTTGAAAGTCACTCTCATTCTTGGACTTTCTTCTAGGCTGGTATTGGGGCTCTATCACAGCCAGTGAAGCCAAACAGCAGCTCCAGAAGATGCCTGAAGGCACCTTCCTGGTGCGGGACAGCACTCATCCAAGCTACTTGTTCACACTGTCAGTGAAAACCAACCGCGGGCCCACCAACGTGCGCATCGAGTATGCTGACAGCAAGTTCCGGTTAGACTCCAACTGCCTCTCCAAACCTCGAATTTTGGCCTTCCCAGATGTGGTCAGCCTGATCCAGCATTATGTTCTTTCCTGCACGGTGGAGAGCAAGAGCGATGCTCCTTATCCCCCGCCTATGCCCTCACCACCCTTGCAAAAAGAGATTGCAGCCTCGGCAGTGCACTTGAAACTGATCCGTCCGCACAGCCACAAGAACAATGCACCAAGCCTGCAGCACCTCTGCCGGCTACAGATCAACAGATCCACTGCAGAGGCAGACCACTTGCCTTTACCAAAGAGAATGAAGGACTATTTGAAGCAGTACCCTTTCCAGCTTTGAGGTGCTGCCAGTTTGCCCCAGAAAGACAATAGAAGCAAAATAAAATCCAGATGGGACAGTAACATGGCTTTGTCCCACTGAAGTGGTGTGGTATTAAGTGGGCACAACAAATAAATGGCCATCAGAAGAGATTGTGTCTATTATCTCTTCCCCTTTTGTTCCCACCTACCCTAATTTCATTCCTGTGTTAGGGAGGGGGCTGCTAGTACCAATGACATTTACATGGTACACAATTCCAATGCCCTGGGGAGAGGGCTTCTCTCTGTCTCTCTCTGTCTCTCTTTTTTTCTGACTGTGGCTTTGAGAAAAACTCTTGGCATGTGCACACTACTTGAATTTCAGAGATGCCATGATACCAGGAATGTTAGAGCATTGTTACTGTCATTATTTATTTCCATGGTAGTTGTATTATCTTATTATGGGGTGGTGGTGGTGAATACAGGTTCCACTTAATTTTCTGGGCCTAGCCTTCTCCATAGTCTGCCATGGTTCATTTCTACCAAGAGTATGTGAAAGTTTGGGCACCAGTAAAAAAACAAACAAAGAGAGCATAAAAACAAGTCTCACCAATGTGGCACACAAATTAGTAAGTTTCCTCTCAAATAAGCTTATTAGGCATCTCCCAGTCCCCTTCTACCCTTTCCTTCTTTGAAGAGGACACTCCTATTCTGAATCAACAGATCAGATCGTCATGATTTTTTTAAAAAATGTCAGCGTGGAGGCCCCTGTATACCTTCAGATGAGGCTTAAAGTTGGTGTTTGCCTTGAAGGGATGATGACACCTCAACCCAACCTCAGTGTAAATCTAACTCTGCTAAGCTACAGCAACAGCAAACTTTTAAAATGTGTAAATATTTATTTATTTATTCCTTTGGTGAAGGAACCCTGCAAAAAACAGGCCATCTGTCTCTCATGATTCTTACAGGGTTAACCCTCCTATCGACCATTTTAAGGTCATTAGATCACCAGTCTGTTACCATCATGTGGCTTCAGAAAGAACTGAATGCTGCTGTGTTATTCACCTTGTTATTTTCTAGCAGAGTCCTGAATTACAGGCTAAAGTCAGTATTGCTTTTTTTGCATAGTATACTGGAATCAAAAACCCCTTAATATCCTTTATGATTTTGTTAAAGTTGGTGGACACTTATTAACTTTGGTTCTGACTTGTGGAAAACAAGAGGGGGGGGGGAAGAACTAGGTGTTCCCCTAGGTTTTACCTTTTGTATATGCCACATCCAGTCATCCCTAATGCCCCTTGTCTGTGCTAGGGAGGAGATCAAGTCCCAGGGTGGACTGTGCAAGAGTAAGGATGATCCCTTGGCATTAATACTGCTTCCGACTGCTTCCTCATCTTCATGACATGTGAAAGCAGAGAATCCACATGGTTGGAGGTGATAGTTGCTCTCCACGAAGCAGAGTCACACCCTAACCCAGTGGCCTTAGAAGGATGCAACTCATCTTAGGATGGCAATACAAATCCTCAGGACACTTATGGTATTTCATAGGCCCCTAGGGTTGAGTTTGTCAGAGGGGGGGATGTATACAAAGGGATATGGTCTTTGGGTAACCCGAAGGAAACATGGGCCCTTCCGCTCCCAATTTTGCTCTGATCAGCCGTCCAGCATGTTTAGTCAGTGTCCATTTCTTTTCATGTTTTTATAGGATTTATTGTATTTCTAGTTTCATTTTGGTTACTTTGATAATTAACAGAATGCATGCATGTATGATGTCTGGTTTGTTGATCACTGAGCTCTCCCCCTTTCGTGTGCCACAGCAAGGGGCCAGAACAAGACAGATGAATGAGAAAAAATACACACAAGAAAATACAATAAATGATATTTTTAAATATAAAGCTATTCTAAAGTTTTCTTCTTTTGTTGCTTAGGAAAAAATGCTTTGAAGAATAATAGATTTTTAGATATTACAGTTCTCGGTACTGGCACTGATGTAGCTACTTCTTTCATGTGACTATAAGATGGTTTCCTAGTTTGTGACATTGTCATTGTGCTTCAGAGCAGTAAAAACCATAAGAACAATAAATATTCCAGATTCTTCAGGGGAAGTAATTAAAGCAAGTTTAGAATGTTGAGGAGTCTTGCATTCCAGCCGAGTATAAGCCAAGCCTTCTGATGAGTGTTGTACATTTGAACATAGTGTTGCTAGAATACTCTTTGTCTTTTGTTGGAGAGAAATGTCAGTAGCACATTGCAGTGCACAGGTTCTGCAGTAGAGTTTGAAGGCAGGAACTGGGTGGGAGATGCTCCATTATTGATTTGGGAACTACTAATTACTTGTTGCCTGAAGGCCCAATGCACAGAGTAGATGCACTCAATGTGGGAAACCACAGCATAATATTAAGCCCAATTTCTGACAGCAATGACTACGCCAGCTGTCTCTCCCACCAGCTTATTATGTTAAACGCTTAGCTCTAAAGTAGTTTGGCTGTGCCTTCCTACTTGGTCAGTGCCTCACAGAATCACAGAGAACAGTTCTTGATATCAACTCAGCTTGGAGACAGCCTATCCTGATGGTGCCAGACCCAAATTACAGCAGTATTCTCTGGCTCACAGGCTTCCATAAGCACCAAGAAGAAGCCTGCTGGATCAAACCAGTGGTCCATCTAGTCCATCAGCCTGTCTCTCTCAGTGGTCAACTAGTCACTCTGGAGGGCTAACAACAGGGCATAGCAACCAGTGCCATCCTTTATGTTGCCTCCTGGCATTGTTGCCTGCAGGCCCATAGCCAGGATTTTTTTAAATTCAGGGGGGCTTTAAATAAGTCAGCCCCCCCCACACACACACCCCTGAACAACCCCCAAGGGAGTGCCTGGGCTGGATGGGAAGTCGAGGGGGGGCTTGGCGGTAAGTCAGGGGGCCAGGCCCCGAGATGCCCCCCACTGTAGCTACGGGCCTGGTTGCCTGGCATAGTGGCAATGACAGCATGAGGTAGGCTCACATCTTCATATTCAGTGAATCTATTTTTAATTGGAACCTATTTTAAAATGGAAGATTAAAGTAATGAGTAGAGTTGCCAGCAGTTGCCATGGTCTGGGAACTTCTGGGAGTTTGATGGGGGCAGCATAGCATCACTTGTGGGTGAAGTGCAATCATGCCTCTCAGCCCCACCCATCTCACAGGGTGTCTGTTGTGGGAAGGGGAAAGGAAAGGAGATTGTAAGCCGCTCTGAGACTCCTTCAGGCAGTGAAGGGCAGAGTATAAATCCAGTCTCCTCCTCTTCTTTCTAGGAATTGCTGGAAACTCTATGGTAAGACCATAAAGCTTCTGGCAATACCTAATTATTTATTTATTAGATTTTTAAATATATATATTTATTTTTATTTATTTATTAAATTAGACTGGTGTCACTTCTGGGTTTTCCCTGGAAGTAACATCACACTGTCACTGATGGAGTTTTTCAAAACATTTTCCCCCACTGGCTGCAGGTGGGCAAAGTAGACAGGAGTGGGGGAACCCTACTATCAACCCATTTTGGATCAATTGCTGTTGCTTAAATAACAAAGCCACTTTGCAAGAGGCTTTTGAGTATTATTCCTTCCTTACCTCTTAAAACAATGAGTGAGGATAAGAGGAAAAAGAACCCTTCCAGTCTTCATAATGTCTGAGAAAGATTCTAACACGCAGATTCATGAGTCATTTCCCCTCTTACCCAGAGGTCATTTCGGGGGGGATCGCAGTTCCCCCAGGTGGGGTATGGGGGCGGGGCACATGACGAAGCCCCGCCCCCTGCTTCCGGCCGCCCCGCTTCCAGCCCTCATTCAGCCAGGAGGAGGCAGGAGAAGAGGGAGGGTAAGTTGCTTCCTCCCTGCCTCTCCCCACCCCTGCCTGCCTGGGGCCAGGGAGGGCCTTGGCGGGGCTTCCTCGCACTCCCGCTGGCTTGCAGGTCCACCGCCGGCCCGGTGATGTCAGGGGGTGTGGCATATGCTAATGAGTTATGCTAATGAGTTCCCGTAGCTCTTTTTCTACGAAACGACCCCTGCTCTTACCTATGTGCCAATGACACGCACAGGGAAAAGTAGAGTCCAAAGAAACCCTAGCTTGAAATAGTGATCCTGGTGTCAGCACAAGACACGGAATAAGATCCCACTACAGCAACATATAATGGCAAATGCTCTGGAAGCTAAATGTTAAATCCCACCCTTGTCATTGCAAGAGCAATTTATCTCAACCATTTAGAATAGCCTTCTTATAGAAGTATCTGTCTGGGGTCACTGATAGAGACCATAAGCAATTGTTCACACATTGGTATGCATACATTTTGGTACCAGGCTAAAGCGCTATAATGGAGAGGAGAGAAATGGTTAGTGCCCATGTTTCCTTTCACGGGTGGTGAACTAGAAGCCCGGAGAGAGAAAAAAACTGATTTGAGAGTGCCAGAGTCATAAGAGAATGTACAGCTTATCCCTTATGGATAATTTGCTAGCTTCCAATTCAGACTGAATTTATTTATACCGCTGAGTTATAAATTTCTGAAAACAGAGGTGTGAATGGAACTGCTGCCTGCCTTTTAAGAAGAAGAAGAAGAAGAGAAGAGATTGGATTTATACCCCGCCCTTCACTCGGAGTCTCAGAGCGGCTTACAAACTCCTTTCCCTTCCCCTCCCCACAACAGACACCCTGTGAGATGGGTGGGGCTGAGAGAACTCTGACACAAACTGCTCTTTTTCAAGGACAGCTGTGCCAGAGCTTGTGACTGACCCAAGGTCACATCAGCAGGTGCAAGTGGAGGAGTGGGGAATCAAACCCGGTTCTCCCAGATTAGAGTCCGCACACTTTAACCACTACACCAAACTGGCTCTCTATAACAGCATGAGGGTTTTTGCTGTATTATACTGCTCCACAATTCATATGCTCTTTGCACAGTGAAACAAACAAATTAGATTAGATCAACACAGTCTGCAATATAGTATTTCCAATAAGGATCATATGCAATGTATACATTGAAAATTCTGACTAATTCCCTAATGGGAAGGATAGCGACTATAAAAATGAATATACTACCAAGAGTCCTGTTTCTAGCGCAAAACTTACCCATTCTAACAAACTATAAGTTTTTTAAGGACCTAGAAAAGATAACAAATAAATTTATTTGGCAATCTAAAAGACAGAGAATTAAAACTAAATACCTACAGGATAGCAAAATGAAAGGGGGGTTTGCACTGCCCAATTGGCAGCTCTATTATCTGTCAGCAGCAATGACATGGATAAAGGAGTGGGTTGAGTT